GCCTCCCAAAGTGCTGGGATTACAGGTATGAGCCACCATGCTCAGTCTACATTTGAAAGCACAGAACAATCATCTAATTTGTTTGTGTTCTCATAGTTGGTGAGGATCCATGGAAGACCATCATTCTGTCTCAAAGTCCTTCATTCATTCATGCCTATATTCATTCATTCTTCAAATATACATGGAGTCCATGTTGTGGGTCAAGTTGTCAAGGAGCTACCGAGGTAAATAGTAGTCGAAATCATTGACCTGGAAGCAGAAAAACCTAGACTCAAACCCCAACTGCCATTTCCTAGGTGTGTGTTGCTCTGCAAGTTACAAAGCCTTATCAGGCCTCTGTTTCCTCACCTGTAAAATGGGAACGCTAATACTCCCTGCCTTGTAGGGTGGAAAGGATTAAATACATGTATCACATAATGCATTTACCAAAATGCTCAGCACTATAAGCACTCCCTCAAAAAACGTTAGCCATTATTGCTATTGTAGTCATGATTTTTATTAAGACAAAGACAAACTATTGTAAAGATTTAATGTGACAGTACATGCAAAGATTTGTAGCAGTGCATGCCATGTTGTAAATGTGTCTCTATATCAATGTTATTCTTCTTTTGATTTGTTTTTCATCAATTTAAAAATGTAAAGCCATTCTTAGCTCATGAGTCAGACAGGTATAGGTTAAGGAATGGATTGACTGTGGGTTGTAACCCCTGGCATAGGGCATTGTAGGCAGAAAGGATACTTTTTTTTTTTTTTTGAGACAGAGTCTCACTCTGTTGCCCAGGCTGGAGTGCAGTGGCACTATCTAGGTTCACTACAACCTCTGCCTCCCGGGTTCAAGTGATTCTCCTGCCTCAGCCTCCTGAGTAGACGGGATTACAGGTACGCACCACCATGCCTGGCTAATTTTTGTATTTTTAGTAGAGATGGGGTTTCACCATGTTAGCCAGGCTGGTCTCCAACTCTTGGCCTCAAGTGATCCACCTGCCTCAGCCTTCCAAAGTGCTGGGATTACAGGTGTGAGCCACTGTGCCCGGCCCAGAAAGGATAATTATGGTTTCATGAAATGTTTGTTTCAACCATATGTGTATATGTGTATGTGTGTGTATGCTACTGATAAAAATACATCTCCTATTGCAAACAGCAATCAGAAAAGTTTGAAAAACATGACTAGAGAAGGTTCTCAGCTATCTGGATAGCAGTATCAGGAAATGCCAGCTTGTCTTAGCAAGCAGATTGCATAGCTTTAGTAGTTTCAGGATTTAGTGGTATCAATTCAAAAAGTGAAGCCATACTGAGATTATATGATAAAATTAATAACTTAAGGAAGGCGAGTCTAGTCTAAAACAGTCTAATCTCAATCCAGGTGACTCTGTATTTTAAGTGAGTTAAAAAAGAAAAAAAGAAAAAAAAAAGATTATCTGTCTAGTTTTTGCTCCCATCACTCAGCTGTGAGTATTCCCAGCACTCTCAGAGTTCTAGAGGCAAGGTCACAAGATCAAGGTCAAACATCTGAAAAATGTAGATGCTGCGGGTTTGGAAGCAGAAGCATTCCCAAGCATATGCCAGCTTATGCATTCAATAAAGCAGAGGGCTAACTTAATAATTAAAATTGCAGGATCTTCCAACACTTGGCTTAATTCAGCAGTTCTCAGCTGCATCTAAAATCCTTGGGGTACTCCAACTCGGGCAGGCTGAATTTCCAAGCCAGCAGTGTCAGGAATGTTCAGGACACAAGGACTCCAAATTTGGGCACTGACTCCCTCGGGGATGTTGCTCATAACCACTCTGGGTTTGTCTAAGCCTCCCCTCAGTTAGGCAACAGTCCATAAAAATGAGTTTAAAATTCTAGGAACGTGCTAAATCTGGAAAGTGAGTAATACATTATCTTTTTGAGTCCTCATTCATCTGGCTATACAGTTTGGTGGGGGCCAATTTTCCAAAGATGGCACAGTTCAAGGAGCAAGGTTGCTCAGACTCCAGATTGCTTCATTATCCTGAGTCATTTTTCAAAACCCCACCTAGTGTTTGTTGGATCAGCTTTGTGGCAAGATAGCATTGTCCTTTATGGAATCATATATTCACACCGTGGGCAACTTTAACCACCTGAGAACTCTGTGAATGCCTCCATAAAACATATCTTTGAGTATCATAATGTAATCATAAAGCTGGACTTTGTCTTTCACTTCTCAAAATACTTTTAAAATAAATTAGAGGGGAGGAGGCAAGAAATTCTTCTAACAATGACACTTTTAATTTCTAATGCCATGTTTATAAATTAAATTCCTCCCTAATGAGATGTCCTCCACAGTAACCTGGGTTTCCCTGTCATTGACCTTACCAAATACTGATCTTTTTTCTTGTTTCAATATCAAATTAGAAGGTAGGCTTCCTCCAGCAGGGGGGGTGGGGGGTGTGTCTTTTAGTGTGCGCCATCAGTCCCTACAAGGAATTGACAAAATAAGTGTTTAATCAATAATTGTTAAAAACAAAACAAAACAAAACAAAACAAAAAACCAGCCATGGCCAGGCATGGTGGCTCACGCCTGTAATCTCAGCAGTTTGGGAGACTGAAGTGGGTGGATCACTTGAGGTCAGGAGTTTGAGACCAGCCTTGCCAACATGGTGAAACCCCGTCCCTACTAAAAATACAAAAAATCAGCTGGGCATGGTGGCAGGCGCCTGTAATCCCAGCTACTCAGGAGGCAGGAGAATTGCTTGGAGGAAAAAAAAAAAAGCCAGATATGGTGGCTCATACCTGTAATCTCAGTACTTTGGGAGGATGAGGTGGGGGAATGGCTTGAAGCCAGGAGTTCAAGAACAGCCTGGGCAACATAGTGAGACTCAGTCTCTGCAAAAAATAAAAAAATTAGACAGGTTGGGTAGTGCCTGTGGTTGAGCTATGTGGGAGGCTGAGGCAGGAGGATCGTTTGAGCCCAGGAGCTGGAGGCTGTAGTGAGCCACGATTGTGTCACTGCACTCCAGTCTGGGTGACAGAGTGAGACACTATCTCAAAACAAACAAAAATTGCTGGGCTGGGCACAGTGGCTCATGCCTGTAATCCCAGGACTTTGAGAGGCGGAGATGGGCAGATTGCTGGAGCCCAGGAATTCAAGACCATTCAAGACCAGCCTGGTAACATGGCAAAACCCTGTCTCTACAAAAAATATGAAAACTAGCCAGGCGTGGTGGTGTGTACTTGTAGTCTCAGCTACTAGGGAGGCTGAGGTGGGAGGATGGTTTGAGCCTAAGAGGCGGAGGCTGCAGTGAGCTGAGATTGCACCACTGCACTCCAGTCTGGATGACAGACAGAGCCAGACTCTGTCTCAAGAAAAAAAAATTGCTAAATGAATGAATGAATGAATAAAAACAATCTACCAACTATCATGTGCCATCATGGGATATTTAATTGTTATTTTCAGCTTAGCCTCAGAGAAACTCAAGACTCATTTTGGAACATTTGAAATCAATGTTATGTAGTTTAACGATCCATCTGTATTAAACAAGTATAATACTTGACTGGCTTCCATTGTAAGGGGTTCAATCCTGCAGTGTTGCCAGCTTTAGAATATCTTCAAAACATCTATAAAAATATGGGCCAACCACTGCAGCTTTGATTGAAAGCAAACTCCCACTATACTTGAATTCTTGGAACCTTTAGGTAACTGCAGAAAAGGAGACCATGATAAGAGTCTGCAAAGAGGCCGGGCGCGGTGGCTCAAACCTGTAATCCCAGCACTTTGGGAGGCCGAGACAGGCGGATCACTAGGTCAGGAGATCGAGACCATCCTGGCTAACACGGTGAAACCCCGTCTCTACTAAAAAAATACAAAAAACTAGCCGGGCGAGGTGGCGGGCGCCTATAGTCCCAGCTACTCGGGAGGCTGAGGCAGGAGAACGGCGTAAACCCGGGAGGCGGAGCTTGCAGTGAGCTGAGATCCGGCCATTGCACTCCAGCCTGGGCGACACAGCCAGACTCCGTCTCAAAAAAAAAAAAAAAAAAAAAGAGTCTGCAAAGGAACCCACCGCGATGAAGTTTCCCTAAGAAGCCCCGAGTCTACATACACTCTGCCAGGCTTGATTAGGCAGCTGATGAGGTGTTTGAATCACTTGTGTTATTGTGAAAGCCACTGCAAAGTAGGCAGACTCTACCTCTACCCTCAACAACCGAAACTGCTTTATTAGAGACCGAAGTTTCTCTATTCCGTTTCCCTCCTGTTAGTGAAAATCTCCTTTTGGCTGGGATTGCTAAACCTGGATCACGTAGGCTGCTTGTAGCTAACTATCTTTCCTGGTTGGCTGGAGAAGACCCATCTGTATATAGTGGGAGAGGATGAGGGCAACAGACAGCAAAGGAGAATCAAGATACAGAGAGAGAGAGAAAGCTGAGGATGTCAATTGAACCTCTTCATCCAGACATTGAAAACTAGTTTCACCCCTGGTCTTGCCAATTACATGGAGGAATATATTTCATTTTTTGCTTAAGGTAGTTCAACTGGGTTTCTGTCCCTGACAATCAAAAACATCCTAATACAAATTGTTATTTTAGCTTTCTTCAGAATCCTGAATGATCATCAATGGACTATTCATTAAATAAATTTGGAAACATTCAGGGAAAAAATATTATTCGATTATTGAAAGTAATAAATGCAGGTTTATGTAGGTCCAGTACAAGATTCACCCAAATATACGAACTGGTTAATTATTGATGGTAAGATTACAGATGATTTAACTTAATGTGCCTATTTACTTATCTGTTTTAAAAATTTCTTGCAAAAATTTATATTAGTATGGTATTTTTAAAAATATGGGCATTTTACCCTTAGTTTCAACGTATATTTTCCTTTTTCTCCCTCTCAGTTCTATTTTGGTACAGCAAATTGCTAAAGATATACAATAAAGAAGAAGAAGGTTGGGTGCAGTGGCTCATACTTGTAGTCCCAGCTACTCAGGAGGCTGAGATGGGAGGATCACTTGAGCCTGGGAGGTGGAGGCTGCAGTCAGCTGTGATCTCGCATTCCAATCTGGGCAACAGAATGAGATCCTGTCTCAAAAAAAAAAAAAAAAAAAAAAAGAGGAAGAAAAGAAATATTAGAGAGTAAGCCATGTTCTAATTACCATATTTTGACAGAGTTGATGGGAGACAATATAAAAGAGGTATACACATCTGTTCTTGAGAAAAGGAGAGCTTCCTGTTCTCAAGGAAATTAGTAAACCATGAGGTATAGTTTCAGTGGAATTATGGAGGACGATAGGCTACTTTGAGATACTTAGTATTTTACATAGCTGAACCATTTGGGAAATTTTAGGAGAGATACTCGTGATACACTTTTTGATTTCCCTTGGTTCCTCAGACCAAAAGTCTAACCAAATATTCCAGTTCCCCTTATTCATTTTTTTTTTTTTTTTTTGCACATAAGTGAAACAGAACATTAACCAGGATTAAAATCCTTCCTGGAGTTACTTCCTGGACTATTAAAATAATAGTTCATATATGATATCTTGAATGGTCACACAATTGTCACACAATTTAATATTTTATTTACTTATTTATGTATTTATTTATTTATTTTTTTAAATGGAGTCTTGCTCTGTCACCCAGGCTGCAGTGCAGTGGCATGATCTTCGCTCACTGTAACCTCTACCTCCTGGGCTCAAGCGATTCTCTTGCCTCAGCCTCCCTAGTAGCTGGGATTACAGGTGTGTGCCACCACGCCTGGCTAATTTTTGTATTTTTAGTAGAGATGGGGTTTCACCATGTTGGCCAGGCTGGTCTTGAACTCCTGAGCTCAAGTGATTTGCCTGTCTTGGCCTCCCGAAGTGCTGGGATTACAGGTGTGAGCCATTGCGCCCAGCCTTATTTTATTTTTTATTTTTATTTTTTGAGACACGGTCCTGCTCTGTTGCCCAGGCTGGAGTACAGTGGTGCGATGATAGCTCATGGCAGCCTTGATTTTCTGGGCTCAAGCAATCCTCCTTCCTTAGCTTCCTGAGTAGCTGGGACCACAGGTGGATCTCACCACACTTGGCACATTTTTCGTATGTGTTATAGAGATGGGGTTTCACCAGGTTGCCTAGGCTAAGTTCAAGTGATCATCCACCTTGGTTTGCCAAAGGACAACATTTTATTTTTCTTGCTCGGTTGAAAGTACTGAAGGGAAGAATACTATGGTCAGAGGAAACTACCCATCTGCCTCCCTGGCAAAGAAAAGAACAAGTTATCGAGTGAGCCATAAACGCCCTCCATGAGATGACAAGGAACATGGCCCTCACTGCCCTTTGCCATCTATCTGTCCTAATGGCTTCAATCTCCCCTACTGGTCTTCTGCTCTAAGTTACCTGTTTGGAGTCAGTTACCCTACCATATACAATCTATTTATATTGACACCTCTAATGTATGCCTCCTGACAGCTTTCTTCAGAAATTAAAAAATAACCAATTTATATGTCCTCCTTTGCCCCTGCAACTGACCAACTTATTTCCCATCCTCATGTTTTCAGAAAAAGGAGATTAAGGAAAATTACCACTTTAAACTGCAATGACACATTTCTTTAATCACAACTGGAAAACTTTAGAAAGAAATATATTTGGGAGAAGGAAAAGAAATGCACATTTCATATTCATGGTTTTTTTTCTTCCCCCTAGTAGAACTAGCTACATACAAATAAGACCTTAATTTGTCTAGAGTTTATTGTGTTACAGTTTATTTCTCAGCTGAATCTACCCTCTGTATTAGGAGTTCATTGTTGAAATGCTTATGTAATAATATAAGGCTGTTTGGCATGTCACCTGTACTGCAGCCTGAACGCTGTAGAAATGTTTGCAAATTCATTCTCTTTACATTACTGAATTATTTGAATCTTCAGAGCCCACAGATGGAGAATGGGAGATTGAGTTCTGGAGTGAAACACTGTATCCTTTAGATTAAAGTGAAGAGACAGAAAGGAGGGGGACTTAATTACTGTGTACACACTATATAGCAGATTCAAGAGTCCAGAGCATGCTGTCACCCAAATATGCTAAATGGCCACATGCTATCCTCTTAGACTACAGTGGTTGGGAGCATGGGTTTTGGGTCATGCCTCCAGGTTCACTTCCTGGTTTTGTTACTTTTAAGCTCTGGGGCAAGTTTCTTCACTTTCTTAGCTTCATTTTCCTCAGTTAGAAAATCAAGGTCATTCCTGATAGTTCCTACCTTACACAGTTGTGGTGATTGCATAAAATAACTCACATCAGTTGGGCGCCATGGCTCATGCCTGTGATCCGAACACTTTGGGAGGCCGAAGTAGGCAGATCACCTGAGGTCAGGAGTTCGAGACCAGCCTGGCCAACATGACAAAACCCTGTCTCTACTAAAAAACAAAAATTAGCTGGGCATGGTGGTGCGCTCCTGTAATCCCAGCTACTTGGGAGGTTGAGGCATGAGAATCACTTAAACCCAGGAGGCGGAGGTTGCAGTGAGCCTAGACGGTACCACTGCATTCCAGCCTGGGCGAGAGAGTGAGAGTTTGTCTCAAAAACAAACAAACAAAAACCAAACAAACCCAAAAAACCCAACTCACATCACTATGCTGACATACACGGTAAGCTTGAAAGTTAGGTATTTTATAGCAGTATTTCTCCCATCAGAATGTATTGCCAAATTCATAGCTAAAGTGAGATAAGTCAGAACACTAGGATCTTAGATCTATTCAGGAAAAATCTACTTCACAATGACATGACTACAAGCTCTTTCCATTGAAAGTAATGGCAAAACCTGCAATTACTCTTGCACCAACCTAATATAAATACCCCTGTTCTGGCCACCAAATCTAAATTGGCTTTGGATCAAAGGTCACATATTACACAATTTCATATCATACTTTATCCATTTATTCAACAACTGTGTATGGTACACACTCCACACAAGGCATGGTTCATGGTTTTTGGTACTGAGGTTTCAAAAGTTGGATAGGAGAGAGAGAGATGATCTCTGCCTTGAAGCTCTCCAGTCTGGGACACAGGAACTAGACCAGGTGAAACAGCAGCCAGGAAGATGCAGAGGGAGCATCCTGGAAACTGGCAGCCTTGGCTACTTTGAAGGTTCAAATTATTTTTCATTTTCCTGGATTAGAATAATATCTATTCTCTCCATATTGCCCTCTGTGCCCACAGGTACTATTTCTTCTCTTGGGGCTTTTCCACATCTAAAACCTGACGTATGCTAAATTCCATGTTCTTTCCTTTCTCAGCTGCTGTGGGGACACCTGGAATCCTGGCAAGAGGGGGATGTTGTTGCATTGGGAAGAATCACAAAACGCCTGGTCTTGTCCAGCCCTTGGACTCCCCTTGAGTGGAGAGGTAGGGGACTCCTAATTTAAGGTTGGTTGTGGGTATTCTTAGCAAACACTTACACTTTACTAGAATATGAAGTGGCACAGTGGGGAAACGCACAAGGTTAAGCTTACTAAGCTTACTAATGATTTGCAGGGGAATCTGTGACTCCCCAATAACATGGAAAGTAAAAACATACGTTTTTGTGGAGTCATTTGACAAATATTTGAGCATTTACTAGTACTGGGCACCATTCTAGGAACTGGGAATAATACATCAGTAAACCAAACTGTCAAAATGTCCTGCCCTCCTTGAGTTTTTATTTTACACAGAGATGTGGATTACAGGTTTATTTGACAAAAAGGTCTGGGGCCCAAACAATGCTTTGGAATCAAGATAATAAACCCATGGTGCTCAGCATTGTGTACCAACACCACATAAGGGGAACCTTAAAAGTCCAAATGACTTAGCCCTTCCTTGAGATTCTGATTGGCTGGATCTGTGTTTGGATTTGAGAATTTATGTTTTGAAGTGCTGTTCATATTGACTTAGATTGCTTCTGAAAAAAAGCTGGAGACGAAGTTCCTCTCACCAAGCAAAGCCATGAAAAATTGGTCACCTCCTTTTTTCAGAAGCACAATAATGCAATGGGATTTTCAGTTCTGGATATCCCAAGAGAGAAGCATCAATATCCCTCCTTATTTTTATTAGCTTAGAATGCACCCTACAAACAATGCTTTAAAAGGATGTTTAAACGTATGCCTAAACCGGGTGTGGTGGCTCACATCTATAACCCCAGCACTTTGGGAAGCAGAGGCAGGAGGTGGCTTGAGTCCAGGAGTTTGGGACCAGCCTGGGCAACTAACATAGGGAGACCCTCCCATGTCTACAAAAAATTAAAAAAATAAAAAACTACCTGGGCATGGTGGTGTATGCCTGTAATTCCAGATACTCAGGAGACTGAGGTGGTAGGATTGCTTGAGTCCAGAAGTTTGAGGTTACAATCAGCTAGTCGAGCTACTGCACTCCAGCTTGGGGACAAAGCAAGACCATATCTCTAACAACAATAACAACAAAACCAAAAAACAAACACACAAAGTATGCCCATATTTTTTAAGTTCTAGAAAGGAGAGGATAAATGATCATACTACCTAACTTGAATCCCCAAATGATTTCCTAATTCTCTTCCCAAATAGTAATACTACTATTAATAATATAATGAGTTTTTATTATATGCCCCTTTATAAGTGTTTTCCCATTTAATACTTCCAACAACCCTGTGAGGTCTTGTTCTACTTATTTGATCAGCGAGAAACGGAGGCGCGGAGGTCACCAAGTTTGCTCAAGGTCACACAAGTGGACCCCTAAGCCTACCTCTTAATCTCGACCACTGTGGCATTCCATCCTTTCTCCATCGTTTCAACGTACCCGCCTTATTTCTTGGACTCTCTCCTGCGACCAAAGATGAACAAAAATTATACATCACTAAAGAGGAAAAAAAAAACTGCTGGGGAGACTACCGAGCAGGCCGATTTGAGAAGTATTTGGGAAGGGCAGCCTTTCTGTGGTACGGGAGTCTTTTCTGTACGCCACCTCGCCGGGACAGAAGTCACTCCACCCGCACCCCGGGCGACCTCCGGAGGCCGCAGCTACCCCCGGGCTGCGAATTCCGAGAGGTGGCCGCCGCGCCCACACCCTCGCGGGCGCCAGGACGCAGGGCACGTCCACGCCCGGCGGGGATCCTTATCTCCCGGCCCCGGAGTAGGTCCGCAGGCTTCCAGGCTCTGCGAGGAACTTGAGGCCGGGGCAGATGACTGGGTCCAGCAGTCTCTGCTGGAAGGACAGTTGAAAAGCTAGAGGGATCACTTTTTTGGTTGAAGACCTGAACCCACACTAGCCCCATGGCTTCTCTCTCGCCTGTAGTTTCCCGTGTCCTAAAAAGTTGGTCTCAAAGTTTAAGGATGCGGGAGTGTGTGCGGGCGCGTGTGACCCGCACAGGGATCCCAGTTGCGGGACCGGGGGACCGGGGGATCCCACCGTCCCTCTCCCCCGGGTCGCAGAGACCCTGGCAGACCCCGCGCCAGGACCCGAACCCGCGAGCGCAGGACAGGCGGGGAGGCGGCGAGCGCCCCGGGGAGGGTCTCAGGGGTTTCAGTGGGACCTGCGGCGGGGGACGGCGAACCAGCTGGGCTGGGTGACCGACAGCCTGGCCAGCCACTGGCCGAGGGCGGTTAGGAGGCTTAGGGCCGGCGCGAGTGCGTGCGCGTGTGCGTGAGTGTGAGCGCCAGGGTGAGTGTGGCAGCCTCCCCAACCCCCACCTGTTTGAAATGTTTTTCAAATGCCAAAGCCATATTGCCCGGGTTTCAAAAGTTGCAAACAGTTGGAGTAAAACACGTGCGCAGCCCCCCAGTCCCAAAGGAATCCGCGGAGTCCAGGGCACTGAAAGAAAAGGAGGGAGGAGAGGGGTTCATGAAGGTTTGGGGGGAGTTGGCTTCTCCCGGCAGGTCGGTTTTAGGACCCATCGGGAAGCACATTGGAATCTCTCCCTTTGGGGAGGAGGGGAGGGGTGGGCCGGCCGGCTGGCGGCCGCGGGGCGCATGCGCGCGCGTCTCCTGTCGCCGGCCGCTGCGCTCCGCGGCGCGGAATAGAATGAACTGTAACAAAACAAGCCGAGCCTTTGTATCTGCTTAAAGGGGCCGCGGGCACTTACCTCCCGTCCCGCTCCCCCCCCAGCCCAGCCACCGCGTCTTCAGGGCTCCCGGCAAGTGGCTGGAAGGGCTTCCTTCACCCTCAGGAACAGCCCGCCCGCGAGGAGAGGCGAGCCGGCGGGAGGCAAAGAGGAGGCACCGCATTTGTAAAAGGCAAGAGAGAAAGGAAGGAAGGAAAAAAAAAATAACCCGAGCGGCGCAGAGTGGACTCTGGTCCGGGAGAGCACGGGCGGGCGCTGGAACGTGGACCCAGAGGCACCGGAATGCAAACAAAGCTCGCGGGCGCCTGTGCGGGGCTCGCGGGGAAGCCCAGAAAGTTTGTTTTATGATGGCTTGAGTGCGCGAGCGTGTGCAGGGGAGCGAGGCTGCCAAGTTTCTCTCTCCTGTTTTGTGATTTGGGGAGAGATGTTTCTCCCATGAACCAGCGTAGGCTTGGGGGCTCGTGCTGTGGGGGGCACCTGTCTCTCGTTTTATTTTATTTTTTTTGGAGGAGGGGTGTAACTCATCATGTCCAAAGTGATCCAGAAGAAGAACCACTGGACTAGCAGGGTTCACGAATGCACCGTGAAGCGAGGACCCCAGGGCGAGCTGGGGGTGACGGTGCTGGGAGGCGCGGAGCACGGGGAGTTTCCGTACGTCGGAGCGGTGGCGGCGGCCGAGGCAGCGGGGCTTCTCCGCGGTGGCGAGGGCCCGAAGCTGGGCGAAGGGGAGCTGCTTCTGGAGGTGCAGGGGGTCCGGGTGTCCGGCTTGCCCCGCTATGACGTGCTGGGGGTCATCGACAGCTGCAAGGAGGCCGTCACCTTCAAAGCCGTCAGACAAGGTAAGGCGGGGCGCGCCTTTGGGGGGCGCCCCGAGAAAAGGAGGGCGGTCTGTGGGCTGCCCCTCATTCTCGATTTCCCGCTTCCCTCCTCAGAGCACAGTGAAGAGAAGTTGAGGCCGTGCGCCTTGTGGTGGCGGTGAAATACACAAAGTTGTTGCGAGGTTGTGGGGTTGTTTGCCCACCTGCGTTTTGAAGAGGGGGCTGGGTTTGCGCAAGGTAGCTAGGGGACGTTTCCCAGGCCTGGCTGGCCAACCTGTTATCTCCGCCACCAAGTGCAGTGCAGTCTCGCCTGCACCCGAGGGAGAGTTGGGGAACTGAGTCAGGGGCATGGTGGACGCTGTCCTGGCTCCTTGGGGGAGGGATGCAGCTGGCGTTCTTTGGCCACGAGTCAAAGTATACAGAAAGAGAGGGTATGTAGTTTATTGGACCTCCCCCATCAGAAAATCTGCTTCACCTCGCGACCCCTCCAGGTGAGCTAGGACACGACTGCCTGGCCTTTCCTGAGCCCGCCGCCAGAAGAGCCTGCATTCACCCCTCAGCGAGATGACGCATGTGTCTCCACCGTGTGGCCCAGCCATAGACTAGGGGGAGAGGGGGAGGGGGTGTTTGCTTTTAGCTCGAATCGGGTCCAAGTTTACCCTGCCACCACCACCATCATCGTCATTATTGATGATGAAAATGAAGGTAGTATTCATTGTTGGCTTACTACATGCCGGGCTCTGTGTAAAATACTTTACTTGCGCTATCTCACTCCGATACTACAACAGTTCTATGAACGAGTTGTTATTATATACCCCATATTAGGGATAAGGAAACTGGGATTGACACTGGTTAAGTGACTTGCGCAAGGTCACACAGTTGCCAAAACCGAGGGTTTGAGCTCTTGTTGCAGAGCCTTAAGTACGGAGGAGGAAGGAGTGGGGGGATGACCCTACAGGATTGGAGGGGCTGATTCCTGAGAAGGGAGTGGAAGCAAATTCCTCTCTCAAAAATCTGTAGAGGCCTTTTAAAAGATGCATTTGGTGGCTGCTGGTGATGTAGGTCCCTTACATCTCACTTTGGTACCGACAAGGGACTGTCCCCATGTCAACCCAATGGAGAACAACTGAGGTCCTTAAAGGGCTCCCTTGTGCAGTCAGGTGCCATGACGCAGGTTCTCCCTAGTGAAAGCACCAAACGAGGTGGTGAAGTTGAACGTGGTGAAAAGTTCCCATGTGTTTCCATAAGGACAGGCAGCAGCTGGAGGAATGTGTCAAAGGAAGGGCTGGGCTGAGCTGGTCCTCTCTTGGAAACAGGCGTGTTCCAGATGAAATGGAGGAGGGGGCAGGGGACTAACCTGGCCTTTTAGCAGCTTTGGGAGCTGAGGAGCTGACACTTAGCTATGGAAAGCTCCTTGCATTTATGACTTCATTCTCCACCTGGATACCTCCTGCAAGAAGCCTTCCAGAATCCTGCTAGGATGAACAGATTCTTCCTCCTTTTGGTTCCTTTAATGTCTATCTTGTGGTTTTTTACTTACTGTGAACTGAGTTAGGTCCTCATTTCCATACAAGGTAGTGAGCTCATTAAAGGGAGACATTGTGCCTCATTCCTGGCATATCTCTCCAGGTTTTGCTTGAGGTTCAAAACCTTTCCTGGCCTGACAATGCGTCTTCCTCACACTGGCTTTCCTGTGGGTATTGCATAAGCTAACACATGGAAAGTGCACCCAACAGTGCCTGTACATAGTAAGTGCTCCATAAAGATTAGCTATTTATGTTTGAATTGATTTTGAGCAGCTATTTATTTCTGAAACTAGTTTTTAGTGTCAGGAACCTGGATAATTCTGACTTGACAGAGCTGTAGAGAAAATACTGTGTGAAGGCCTATGATGGGAGCAGCTGCAGGTCTCAGTTGAGGACCATTTTGGAGAAAGGGTGGAGGAAGGACAGGCAAGGGTGCCTGCCCAACTAGTGGGATGTCTCAGAGTGTCTAACGGGTCCTGAATAGGGGCTGGTTTGCAGTGTTTGCAGTGTGCAAGATGCTGCATGGGCTTGTGTCTCTTCCTTCCACTACTTGCCAAATTTCTGGGAGGTGATGTCCTAGGGCTCTCTCATCATGGAGTTTAAGAAGGCTTGGTGAGATAATCAAGTGGGTTTGGAATCAGACACCTCTGAGTTCAAAGGAAACTGTAGTGTCTCGAAGTGTTAGCTCTCTTCACCCTGTGTGCACAGATTGTTCACGGCAGGGGCGAGTGTGTGTGTATGTTTGTGTGTGTGTATGTATGTGTGTGTGTGTGTATGTATGTATGTATGTGAATCTACTTGTAATGGGATAGAAATATACTGACTAGGAAACCTGAATGGCCTGGAATTCATTACAATCTGAAAGTGACTATTTCATGTAATAATTACACAGGCACAGTTGGATCTTCTGACGTCTTCATTACCAGTAAAGATGGCCCTAGAAACCGTTTCACCAGTTTTCTGCTCCCTCTTCCATGTTGAGAATATGATTTAGACTGTATGACAGAATTGCTCTTAATGTGTCTTCATGACTATGCCTTTTAAAATCATATCAAGTAGGCTCATATTTGGTATATGGTAAAGAAAAATATTACTTTTGTGTTGTTTGCATCCCAAGTTAGCCACTCCCAGGGACGCAGGTCACTTTGGATACTGTCTACATGGTGGGAGAAAATTCTGTTTCTACTTCATGGCAGTTCTCTGGAAAGATACATGGACCAAAACTGTCTGCGGCAGGACTAGATTGTGCAGGAATCAAACTCAGTGGATCTGCCAGGTTGGAGTTAGTTCATTTTAAATGGAGAAGACAGTCCTTTGTCATAAAATGCCTTTACAAAGTTATATATAATTATGTGTATTCAGGAATCATTTACCTATAGTAAAATGCATATCTTAGGTATATAATTTGATGAGTTTTAAGAAATGTATGCCCTCAGGTTAATCACTCAAATCAAGATAGAGAACATTTTCATTACCCCAGAAATTTTTCTCATGTTCCTGTCCGTTTAATTTCCCCCTCCCCCTGCACCATAGATTTACCATAGAATAGTTTTGTCTTAAACTTCATAAAAATGAACTAATGCAGTATATACTCTTGTGTTTGGCTTTTGTTATTCAACAAAATATTTTGGAGGTTTCATGTTGTTGCATGTATACTTCATTTGGTTCTTTTTTTTATTGTTTAGTAATATTCTATTGTATACACATACCAGTTTGTCCTTTTGCTTGTTTATGGACATTTGGAGTATTTACTATTTTTTACTATTATGAATAAAGCTGTTATTAATGTTTTAGTTGCTCTACATCTTTGCAAATCTTTGATTTTGTTTGTCTTTTGAATTTTAGTGGTTCTAGTATATGCTTGGGAAAAGTGATACAGGATATAGGATGTCACTAATATTTATTAAGATCTTGTCTTAGAATATAATAGGCGCTTGGCAAGCTGATGCTTCGTGGGCATTCTCTTTTTCAATCCTTACAACTGGACTCAGATGTTAGAAGCTGAGGTTCAGAGAATTTGGATAACTTTTCCAGGGGTCATACCACAGTGGCAGAAGTAGAGCTGCAATTCAGCTGTGTCTGATTCCAAAGCCTGTGCTCCCAATTCCTGGGACAGTAGGTCTCCAGGTGAGGTCATCAGACCAGTGGCATTAGTATTACCTGGGAACTGGTTAAAAATCCAATTTTTACCTTAGTTCTACCAATTC